CCAGGCCCCACCCCGCCCCGCCCCGCCCCAATTCTGATCACTCCTTGGCCCGCCAGCGGCGGGCTGGCCACGCGCATCCTTTAAGGGCGCGCGGGCCACCGCTGCGGAGCCCCAGCGGTCACCCCCCACCAGGCTGGGAGGGCTCGGAGTCAGCCCTGGCACACGGGGTTCACAGCGTTCTGGGGTGGGGGTGGGGGTGGGCGATTACCGGGCGCCGTGGTACCGCTGAGTGAGCTCAGGCCAGGGTGTCCATTGCTGGTCCGCGGTGCCATAGGGAGGCCGGAGCCGATGGAAAAGTACCAGGTGCCAGCTACCCCGCGGGGAGACGGGCCAGCCGGGCCCGGGGCCCCCAGCGGGTAACGGCCGGGCCGAGTTCCGCCGGTGACTGGCCATCGCGGTGACCGGTGACCGCCGTGCCCTTTGCCTCTGCTTCAGGGTCCCCTCTGAAGTGACAAACGCTCCAGCCCCACTGGAGACGGGGAAGGAGACAGCAGGCTTCTCCCCATCCGTCCCGCGCTGGGCTAGTGAGGCCAGCGCAGGAATGTCCAGAGATATAACCAAGAGCCCAGATCCCCAAACGTCCAGTTGGTAGTCCCGGGGGACCTGGACCTTTCCTGGGTCTGTGAAAGCATTTGGGACCCAATTCTGGAGAACTGAAGGGATGCTGCGAAGAAAAGACGAATATTGGGTTAAATATGGCAACTCTAGAAAACATCAGAGTCCCTCCTGGTAAAGATGCGTCCCTCGGAGAGGATGTAGGTCTGGTTTCCTCACTGAGGTCGACCTTTGTGACAGAGGATGTCAGCTCGGAGTCCCCACAGCAGGAGGACTTTTTTTTTTACAACAATTATTTTTCTTTTTTTAAACATTTATTTATTGATGCACACAGAACTGGGGTGCAGGCCAGAGGATCCACCAGAGACAGATTGGGGAGCAGAACAGGCAGATGGACCGAAACCCATTGCTGAGGGGAGCAGCAGGGATACCGGAGGGGTCTGCTGTGCCATGGGGGTCACCTCCAGGGTGGGGCTCAAACTGGGCAGTGAAGCGGCTGCGGCCGGCCTGCGCCACCAGGGAGGGCCACGAGAACTTTAAAGAAAGATTTTATGTTTTTAACTTATGCACACAACAAATGGGGTACAGGCCAGAGGTGCGGGGGTGAGAGGACTCCCCAGAGACAGTGGGGAGCAGAACAGGCGGATCGGCCAAAACACACTGCTGAGGGGCAGCGGGGAGGCAGGAGGGGCCTGCTGCGCCCCGGGCCATGGCTCCCCTGCTAGTGCTGAGGCGTGGACCCTGCGCCACCAGGGAGGCGCCGCTAGAGAACCTCAGGCACCGTCACTATCGGGAAGATGTTTGAAAAGGGCCGAGATTTGGGAGCATTTCTTGGCCCGGCCGGCCGGCCGAGCCTGCTACCTGAGTGGCCCTGGGCGTGGGCGGCCTTAAGCCAGTTTAAGCTGGCTCAGGCCATGCTCCTGGGTTGGACTACAGAATTGCAAGACTTTTCAGGTCTTCAAGAAGCCCCTTCCTCCCAGTCTCAGAATTGTAGCCCCTCCTCCCTCCCATCAAGTTCTGGCTGGTGGCCGGATCTCAGGTGTCAGACCCGGCCTGCAGTCCAGCGGTGGGCTGCCCCTAACCTCACGGGCGGCCGGCGGCCCAGCTCCTGTGCCTGAGTGTGGCTGGAAGTGGCTGCAGCACCACCGATCGGCGCCTGTAGGGCATTGAACAGTGCCAGGTGCTGGCCATGCTGCTTGGCTTCTCATTTGGGCCCCGGGGTCCTAGGGGCCTGGAGGGAGTGGACTTCCCCGGGGGCCGCTAGCCCTGGTCCTTCCCCGAGCTCGGAGAAGGGACCTGGGCTGTGGGAGGCACTCGAGAGTGGTCCAGGAGCAGGTCCGGCCCAAAGGGTCCGGCCTTCGGGGCGGCTCCCACGGCAGCCCCTTGTGGGGAGCGGAGACGCGTGGGGTGGGCGCGAGAGGCGGCCAGGGCTTCCCGACGCCGCTCTCACCCCTGGCAGGTTCTGGAGCGGCTGACCCCTGGGGCGCTGGGGGTGAACATGGTGGTGGAGGAGTCAAGCAGCAAGGAAAAGCTGGTGATAAAGCAGGTGAGAAAGAGGCCGCTCGCGCACCCAAGGGGCTGCTGCCCCCCACACGCCCCTGCTCACGGCCAGGTAGACGGGGTTCCTTGGCCCAGCTGTCTGGGAGGCCATGGCTAGGGAGCTCAGGGGCAGCCAGAGGCCCCAGGCTCCCGGAGCACTCGATGCCTCACGTGGATGAGGGGATGTTCCTTTTGCTGCGACAGCAGACCCGTGTGCACCGGGCCCGTGCCGCCTCGGTGAGTGCCCCCCCTGGCATGCAGGAGCCGTCGGGGCTGCAGAGCGGCCAGCACTGCGTGGACCCCAGGGTCGGCACGGTGGGGTGGGGGCGCAGGCCTCGGGGCAGCCCTGGCCGCGTGCCAGGCCGAGGGATGCAGCAAGTGGGGCCCAGGGGAGGAGAGCCCCTGAACGAGCCGGACTCCGAGTAATCAAAGAGCGTTTTTAAACATTTATTTTTGCATGCAGAACCGGGTGCAGGGCGGAGGCCCAGGGGGTGAGAAGACGCACCAGAGACAGAGTGGGGAGCGGAACAGGCGGATCCGCTGCCATACATGCCCTAGGGGAGCAGTGGGGAGCAAGGGGAGGTCTGCTGCGCCCTGGGGGTCACGCCTGGGCCGGGGATCGAACTCGTGCTGCGCTGGCTGCGGCAGCTTCACTGTGCTGCGCTTTAACCCCTGCGCCAGCAGGGAGGCCTCAAAGAGCATTTTGTAAGTCAGTCAGTCTTCCTTGAACAAAAACATAACCAGTGGAGGGGTGCTGGGCTGGGTGTCTCCTGGCCCCTTTCCTACCGTTTGTGAACTCACGGGCATGGGGCTGCGGGTGCTTCCCCCAGCGTGGGGCGGCCCGCACCCTGGCGCTGGCGCAGCGCCCGCGTCGGGTCCCAGCAGCTCCTGTGCCCACACCCTGGCGCGGCAGCCCTTAGTTGTCTCCATGTTCCACGCTGTTCCGGCAGTTTGTTCTGTTAGTGATTTCCTCGGGGTGAGCTCCAAGGGTTCACATGTGCGATGCTCTTCAGGCTTTTGCTTGTTCAGGCCAGTTTCGTGGAAGCCCGGACCCCCCTAGAGGAGGGAGGAAGGGAGAGACCCCCGTGCCTGGGCAGCAGGGTCGCCCACGTATCCGGGGTGGCCCACCACACCTGCAGCCCCGCCACGGCCACCGCGTTCACGGGCCTGTCACTCGCCGTCTCCTGAGCCCATGGCAACCCCCACTCCGCGTGCTGATGCTTTGCCAACCCGAGCAGAGCGGTGTGGCTTTGGGGCCACGTGTCGTTTGCTCCCCGGCTTCAAGGTGGTCTGAAACCCGGGGCTGAGCATTCCCTGGAGTTGGTATAAAGCCTCCCAGGCTTCCCCTGCTCAAAGTGATTTTTGGTTTTGTTTTTAAGTGCCAGAGAATTTTATGGAGGGGCTTTGAAGGGGTGGGGGGCGAGCTCCAGCCTCTCGGGACTGGGGGAGACCTCCCAGCTTCCCAGCTGCAGAAATCACTGCGACCTCCCTGGTCCCATTTGGTGCCACGTGTGGGGAATAAGTGGTAGGAGCCTGGCGCCCTGGTGAATAATGCTGGTGGCGGTGCTGGTAGCAATGGTGCAGGGGATGG